GGACACTCCTAAATGCCTGAGAGGGAGCCCTGAGGTTTCTTGCATCCTTTGAAAACTAGTGTCTGAGCAGCAAGAGACACAGACAGATGCTGCACATGCATACACACTAACAATGAGCAAGGCGACACACAGCCACGCCATTTGTCCAAAACATGCTTTGCCACTCACCATGACAACAGAGGGGTGTGCTGGAAGCTGCTTGTTGGAGGCGGTGTCATTAGCAGCCACGGTGCTGGGCAGCTCCTCATCACTCAGCTCGTCCATGCCGTCTGAGAGGCCCTCCACCTCGCTGACCGTCAGCAGCATGGTGGCGTGTTTGGCCTTCACAGTCAGCATCTTACACTTGGTGTGGAGCGAGGCAATCTGCTCCTGGTAGCCACGGATCTTCTGGGCCAGCTCCTGTCAAAACATCCCCCCCAAAAAAAGCAGAAAACACCACCACCCCCAGGGTCAGGGAGAGTGTGGTTCAGTCCACAATAGAAGATCAATAGTTCCTGGTTGAAAGAATCCTGGGCTGAGTTCAGCTTTGAGTGTGATGCCGGTGTGAGAGGAGTAAGTGGAGTGAACGCATTCTCTTCCTTTGCCGGTCTGTTACTTTTGGCTTCACAGTGTGTAAACGTAGAAAGAGAAAAGCAGTGCCTCACTCTCTCTCTCTCTCTCTCTCTCTCTCTTTTCTCTCTGGCTCTCTCTTCCGTATCTCTGAGCCAATCAGAGCTGCACAAAGGCGGGTGGCTAAGAGCAGCGGTGGAGCCAACACACGGGATGTTTGGTTGAGACAGAGACCCTCGCAGAAATAGTTCAAAATCCCTCAGACACTCCCTCTCGCACACATACACAATTGGCAAGAAAAAAAAACAGGAAGTGATCTCACTGCCTACAACAACCACCCCCCCTCCCCTCCCCTCCCTCTGCCTGACGCTTCCCTCCTCCACCAATCCTCGGGGCAGATGCCTTTCAACAAAAGAGACTAACTAAGGAGAGAGGGAGTGTTTAGAAGGGAAGAATGACATACACGGTGTCAAATTACAACCCTGGTATGAGCCGGCAGGCCAGGGTCCAGCTCCTCCTTCCCTCCTCCTCCTCCTCCTTTGGTTTCTCCTCTCTCTGTCCCGCAGATGGTCAATGCACTGATAATCAGGTCACGTGACTAACCGGGCCAGTGGACTGCAGCTATCTGCTCAGCTTAGAGATCAAGCTCAGACATAAACACACAACCATGCCAAGCCACTCTGCAGCACTGGAGAGACTGCAGTGAGCAGAAGTGATATTCAAACAGCTAGGCATGTATCGTCTCTGAGATAAAATCAGACCAAACCACACAGAAAAAGTTAGAAAGTAAAATAAATAAAAAGATGTGTTGCCTCTGGGGAGATATGATCTGTTTTTCTGCAGGTATTTGCCTTTCTCAGCATTGCCAACCCCCTCCTTGCCTTCCTCGATCTCTGTCTCTGCGCATGGGAGAGCAAACGCACCTACTCAGCAAAGTACAACTGCAACTGGAAGTGCAGGGCTTGTAAAGCGCACCATCTACACTGCACCAAACAGGAGTCAACGCAGATGTTGTATTTTCATGTACCATCAGATAAAGAGGAATGTGAGTGAGATAGGCTTGTAGGGACACAACAACACGATAATCTCCCAGAATATGGTGGCATTGTTCTGAAAACAGAATTTCTGTATTTTTTTACAACAACTTGAAGCCTATAGTTGCAATAATTTACCTACTAAATTACACACAGTTAAATTAACAGGATTTTCAAACCTACTCCAAAGTAAAAAGCAAACCTTCTGCTGCCCTTGCCTCTCTTTTAATGCTTTTTTTTTTACATTGCTACAAAGATCAGGATATATATATGCTCAAATGTCTCCTTCCTGTCTTTGTTTTTGGCTCTTTAATTTGATGTTAAGGGAGTTGTTGAGGCAAGTGACAACAACAAAAAAAGCCCCAGTCATACTGTCATCAATATACAGGTGAAATATTCACAAACACAGTTAATGTTTTTCTTTTTTTCTTTTTGTTTCAATGGCTAACTTGTCAGGACAGATTTAAAACAGTAATAAAATTGAATCTTAAAGTTATATTGCCTTGAGTGGGGTTTTTTTTACGGGCCTGTTTTTATGTTCAGACATGGCACCGTCTCTCTGATGACTGAAAATCCTTATAGTCAAGCATACAATGACAATTTCATTTTCTTGTATTGTTCATTGACTGTTGAAATTGTTACTGAAACTTGCAAACAAACCGCTTTGAATTGAATTGAACTTAACTGATACTTTAGAAGAAGGCATGCCTCTTATCAAGTTGTCACCATTTCCACCGACAACACCACTACTGACTACCGTTGGTACATAAATACATTTTATTCTGAGTTTATTGTTGTAGAATTTGACTGGCCTGCATAAAGCCCTGACCTGACCTTAAACCCATCCTACAGCCTTGAGTTGAACTTCAGAGACGTCGGCCTTATGGCCAAACATCAGAAGACACTAACACTATTCATGTATGAACGGGGGAAAGCCCTGAAGCCTTCTTCCATAATCACACTGAAACAATCATTCAGAACTGTTACGGCTGTTTTAGCAGCAAATTAATGTCCATAGCTTTGGGAGGATATGTTTAAACCGCAAGTGGGTGGGATGCTTGCATGTCATACTTATAATTCAATAAATAGCAAGAAAGACATGTGCTTTTTCTGACCTCATGGTGGTGTATTTGAGCCTGAAGTTCCTGTATGTTGCTGGTGGAGACGGGCCGATCTTGAATGATTCGGTGAGCCTCTTCTATTAATCTCTGAAGGTTCTTTACTTCCTGTTCATACTGCTCATACTGCACCACGGCCTCCTGGGAAAGAAAAGCACAAGTCAGGGCTCAGGGTCCACCTTTAAAAAAATTAAAAAAAGTTTTCTAAATTACTGAACTGAGGAGAAATTATAATGTTTGCTCCCCTTCCACTGAGGGCAAAGGTTTAATGTCAAACACATATTTGTCTGGATGGAGTGATTTCTTGCCTACCTATGTCACAATTCTTCTACTTTAATGATTCATGTATGAATAGCATCTGTCACCGAGTGTGTTAACATGCTTTTCTTGAGCAGCATTCTTTAGAACAAGTCACAGACAGTATTTTAAAATATATAATATTCTTAAACATGCTGTTTGAAGGGAACCATTAAGCTTGTCTTTTGTTAGTTGCGGGGCTTCACAAGTATGTTTAAGGTAAGTTTCTATTGATAGCATTTGTAATATTGTAGTTATTAAAGGAGAAATATGTAACTCTGACACGTAGTGTTTAAAATGGGTACTGCAGTCCAAATTCATAGAACCAGTGACATCTGAACCAGTTCGCTTGCCCGCTTTCATCGCTGCAACCCCTGTTGGTTTCGCTGTTTGCCTGTTTGCAAACTGAGGGGCATCCAAAACGGCCATGTGGGGGTGTATTTAAGCCGCCTACCTTCTCTGGTCAAAACAAATACAGACGATTCAGGACATTCATCAAAACTTAGAAGGAGGACATACTGGCTGCTGCATTGTTGCCAGAGAAGCCAGCACTTGCATGCAAAGCAAATAACACATGGCATGTTTCCTTCATGTCTAATGTTATAGTTAGTCAGTTAATTTTATGATTTAATTCAGTAACAACTCACACTTTTGATCTGAATATGTATCTGGAGGCTTTTCTACGCCTTCATTTAGAGAAAGGAAAGTGGATAGAGACAGAAATCGAGGACAGAGAGAGCGGGGAATGACATGCAGGAAAGGAGCCACAAGTGGGATTTGAACCCAGGCCACCGATTTAGAGGACTACAGCCTCTGTACATGGGGTGCTTGCAATAACCACTACGCCATCAGCGCCCCTGCAGTTAGCTTTTAACTTAACCCTTAGCCAGACCGTGTTGACTGATTCATTGTTTTAATTCTTAGTTGATTTATTAAAACAGTGTTGTCCTCCAGACTGTCTCTGAAGGTCTCTTGCTGTTTCTCTAATGGCTTATCTTTACTACAATGAGCTTAAAAGCACAAACAGCCCAGAACCAAAGGATTGGAGGATAACACTGGTCCAATGGGGCTCAGGGAAATCAAAGGCATCTAGAAGGAGGGAAGGACACTTAGGCCAGATTAAGAACAATTACAAACTACTGTTCATGGTATAGTCCTATAACTCATAAATACATTTAGAAGTTAAAAAACACAATATGTCAGTGACATTTGATGAACAGCCTTTCCAAAACGAGGAGTGCATTATACCTGCAGGATATTGCACTGCTGGATGGTGGTATGCTGCAGTTGGCTGGCCTCCTGCTGCAGAGTCTGAGCTGTGCGGCAGACAGGCAGGCCGGCCACTACCTCCTCTGGAAGCCGGAGGGCGCTCTGACACTGCTGTACTGCCGCTACCTGCTGCTTGAAGCCCTCCATTTCCACCAACAGACGCTTAGAAAGGAAAAAAGGGGGACGTCAGAGATCGAGGACAAACTGTTTCTCGTGGTATCAGACATTATCATGTTCATATTATCCTCTTACAAGTTTGCAGTGTGTCCATGTATATCCTGTACTGTGTACATTCTTGCTATTTGGCTGTCCAATGCTTTAACTGTTTTAAATAATTAACTGGTTATTTCAAAAAAAATGTAGAGTGTATAAATTACCTGTCTTTGTGTGAGCTGCTCTCGGAGACTAAGTCTGTTGAGGTCTGGGGAGGCGAGTGTGACCTGGATCTGGTCTACAGCAGCATGGAGGTTCTTCACCTCTGCCTCCAAACGCAACATATCCTGAGAAGTGACCCAGACAGACCAAACAAATCAAAGGAAAGTAAATAAAATGAAACAAGGTAGTATTAGCAGCTAATTCTTTTAGTACTGCAATAACAGCCACATTATAAACCTTTCATACACGTTTGATTAATCCAAAAAATGTGTTTTCTGATATATAACTGCTTAAAGGAATAAGGGTTAAATGAATATACATTTCCATTAATATCAACTATTTTTATTGGTTTGAGATATAAATAAAAAACGATAAAATAAAATAAAAACTTTTCCAATTAAACAATGAATTTGCGTTCTGTAGTTGATCTTGGTTTATTTCAAGTGAAAGGATACTTAATCACCGCAAACGAAGGTTGTGCTATGTCTACAATTTAGATTGAGAAAAAGTCCAATCTCACAGGGGGAAAAGAAAACAGATTTCCAAACACACAATGTCATTAGCAACAATGAGCAACAGACTGTCATCTGTGTACCAGCTGCAGAGTAATCAGATTAGCGTGACAGATTACTGCAGAACAAACTAAAACAGAGCATTCCATCATGATGCCGTAACAGTAGGTAAATGACCACAAGGGAGCACTGTTGGATTGTAGCTCTTACATTTTTTTATTGTGCACCAAAATGTTTGCACTAAAAGAACTACAATTTGCTAAATTACTGAGGATTTTTTTCTATCAGAGTGCACTATAAACATTGATAGAGAAGTTGATGTCAGATACTTGAAAGCTTTGATTCACATCTACCTTTGCAGCGTCCTGCAGACTTTGGAGGCGAGTCTTGGCAGTTTGCTGTAGCTCCTCTGTGCGTCTGCTGAGGTGCTTCACCTGCTGGATCCACCCCTCCGTCTGCAACACCTCCCCCAGCTGCCCCTCCCTCTCCCCCATGGCCTCCAAATCACCATGGAGACCCCGACACTCCCGCAGCAGAGCCTATTAGCAAAGAAACATAAATTACAAGTCAAAGGCAATTACACAATTTAAGGCCGGCCAACACACTGCACAGTGTGATATTTCACTGAAAATCAAAGTATGGCATGAACCTAACCGTCAGTAAATGTGAGGTTGTCTTCAGATATAGTGGGTTAAATGTGGGTGTTATTATTTTTACAGAAAAATACATTTAAAAACAACCAGAACCTAATTTCTTTCAAAAGTTCTCAGACATCTTGAAATCACTCCCTGCAGAGTGGCTCATTAAGACTCACCTGATGTGCTCGAATTTGTTCTTGGAGCTGGGAGGCGGAGCCCCAGATGATGCTGCAGCTGACCAGAGTCTCTGCCTTTTCTGCCCAGCCCGAAATGAACACCTTCATACCCTGATAATCCTCCGCCTGTCTTTCTGCCTGCTCACAGATGAAACAAACAAGAGCAAAAAGACAGACGAATGAATGCAGATGAAAATTAATCACAGAATGACGTAGTATTAGTCACTAGATACTTCCTAAAGCCCTTTTAAAATCTGTTTTGTTTTTTGTCTTTTTCTGTCTGTTTAATGCCTTGCTGCAAAAACCAATCGCCCTGTGGGGACAGAAGAGGTTAAAGTTGAGTTAAGTTGAAATCCTGCTCATTGTACAAAATATCAATGCTGTTCAATTAGGCCAGTGCTTCTCAAACTGTGGGGGCGTGGCAACATGAAAGCAGGCAGGTGGCTCTGGAAAGGGCGTGGCTGAATGGGCAGGGCACTCCTTGAAACCTGATTAGCCAACTCAGATGCCAAGCCAAAATCCCAAATATGATTGGCTAGTTGCCTAGTCAGAGGCGGGATTTATATATATATATATATATATATATATATATATATATATATATATATATATATATATATATAATATATATCTATCTATCTATCTATATATAGATATATATATATATCTATCTATATATAGATATATATATATATCTATCTATATATAGATATATATATATATATATATATATATATATATAGATATATATAGATATATATAGATATATATAGATATATATGAGCTGTATCACAACAGGCTGCTCAAAGCACTTTGTTGAGTTCATTTTCATAGTTTAGAAAATATACACAGGAAATAAAAAATATTTTAGAAACTTTAATATTAATAGAAGATATTATAAGTGGATATTGAAAGGTAAATAAATGCTATTTATTCTTTTTTTTGCACATAAAAACATAATGGGTTACCATTAACCATTTTACCATTGTAGGTACTCAGCGTAACATTTTTCCTTCTCAGAGGGGAGCATGACAAAGTTTGAGAACCACTGAATTAGGCACACAACACTGGGAACTTGTCTCCGTCTTAAGGGAGGTCTACATGGTGTAATAAGCTGAATAGAGATTTTACCTTCCTCAGCCTGTTAGCTCTGTCCTGGACCTGCTGTGTGGTTTGGCGCTGCACCTCTATCAGCTTTGCCACAGCGTCGCCCAGCTGCTTACAGAGGAGGGGGTTCTGCTCTCCAAACTCCTGCACTGCTACTCCTAACTCCAGCAAAGAGCGAACACAGCATTCACACTCTTCACAAAGGATCTGTAAGAGAAGAGAGGAGTGGGTTTGGAAAGTATGAAGGGGATGTGAAGAGGGAGGAGAAAGAAGGAGCATGATCAGACAAGGGGGATTAAATGTGGGGTAAACTTCAGAGTGGACATCAGTTAACTTTACATCCCATGTGGCTATCTCTGTTCGTGCCAGGTCATTTAGGGGAGAAGGTTATTGCTTACTTGCTTACTTAAAAGAGCAATGCTAACACTTCCTGTTAGTATCATAAACATAAAGCTTCAGCCAGCAGAGGCTGAAGGCAACAAAAACAGTCTAACAACACCTCAACGTATTGTTTCTCATCTGTGGTTGCACATGAGCAAAATGATTTATTTGTGTTCTTTAGAGGTGCTGCTAGCTACTAGGTGGAGTATTTCAATATTATGACTCCAGGCTTTGTACATCTAGAGATGACCAAAGGAGTGAGGGAAGAAAAAAAA